GTGTATCTGCTCCTTCATGCCTGTGAATAAGCTTCAGATTTAGTAGGTAATGGTATCATATACAATAGAATATTGCCTCTCCAAATGTCTCATATAAATATATATATATGTATATATGTATGTATGTATGTATGTATGTATGTATGTATGTATGTATGTATGGACACCTTTATTGGGATGTGATTTACCCACTGTATTCATTGTCCTCAGAGGGCTCTGTCATTACCACAATAGGTTTTAATACATTTGATCACCCCTCAGGAAACCCTGAAGCTATTTCCAATTCCATCACTTTCTTCAGCCCACTTTGTTACTGCTCCTTTCACTTAGCACAATGTTTCATGAATCCAGGGTATAGCATGTATCTGTGCTATGTACCTTTTCATTGCCGAATAATATTTCATTGTATGGATGTACCACATTTTACTTACCCATTCATCAGTTGGTGGACATTCGAGTGCTTCCAGTTTTTGGCTATTAGAATATTTTTGTTATGAACATTCATTTACAATTTTTGCTTGACTATGTTTATGTACTTATGAAAATACACTTGAAAATAAGTTGCTGGTCATATGGTGATTCTATGTTCAAACTTTGAGAAAGTAATAGAATGTTTTCCAATGAAGCTGAACCATTTTACATTCAGATTAGCAATGCATGAAAATTTCAATTTCTCCACATCTTTACCAACATTTGCTATTTTTGATTTTTGTTTCTGCTTTTTTTTTCCCTATAGCCATTTCAAGTAGCTGTGAAGTATTATTTCAATGCGATTTTTATTTTATTTCCCTAATAACTAACAATATTGAGCACCTTTTATGTGCTTATTTGTTAGTCATTGCACAACTTCTTTGGAAACATTTCTATCCAAGTCCTTTGCCTACTTTCTAATTGTTTCATTTTTGTTGTTGAGTTATAGTTTTCTTTATATTCTGAAACTTATTCTTAACATTTTCTTAATAGTGCCGTATGGCACAAAATTTTCAAATTCTGATGAAATCCATTTACTTTTTTGTAATCTTTTTACTCATGCTTCTAGTACCACACCTAAATGACCATCGCTAAATCAAAGATCATGAAAATGCATGCCTATACTTTCTTCTAAGAGTTTTATAGTTTTCAGTCATACATTTAGGTCTTTTGTGTACTTTTAATTTTTATATATGATGTGGAGGGGTCCAACTCCATTCTTTTGTATGTAAGTATCCAGTTGTCACAGCACCATTTGTTGAAAAGACTATTCTTTCTCTTTTGAATGTTCTTGGCATCCTTGTCAAAAATCAATTGACTGTAAATATCAGGACTTATTTCTGGACTCTTGAGTTTTTCCACTCACTGGTATGTGTAGTCTGTGCCAGCACCACACTGTAGGATTATAGTGAGTTAGAAATTTAGGGAGTATAGGTCCTCCACATTGTTCTTTTCAAAACATTTAACAATATTGTGAAAAGATTCTGGAATTCTGGAAATTTCATATACATTTTTGGGATCATTTTGTCAATTCCTATAAAATTGTCAGTTGGATCTTTACAAGGATTGCACTGAATTCTGCAACTGTTGGGGTGTATTCCCAATTTTAGATAAGTCCTTGGATACATAAATCTGGATATTTTCCCAATTTTAAGGTCAACTTCTTTCAACTTCCCAACTTCTTTCAACAATATTTTGTACTTTGCTATTTTTTTCCTAAGTACCTAATTCTTTTTTACTATTATTATAAATGGAGTTGGTTTCTTAATTTCATTTTCAGATTGGTCTTTGGAAATACAATTGATGTTTATACTAATATTATATTTTGAAAGCTTGCTTTTTCTGATTCTAACAGATTTTTATGTGTGTGTGTGTGTGTATTCTTCAGGATAGTCTTTACATAAGGTTATGTCATTGGCAATAAAGATAGTCTGGCTTATTCTTTGCCCCTTTAGAGAAAGATGCCATTTATTACATTTACTTGCCTAATTCTGGCTAAACTTCCAAGAGAATGTTGAATAGAAACTGCAAGAGTGGAACCTCTTTTCTTTTTCCTGATATTAGGGAGAAAACATTCAGTCTTTGATCATTAAGTATTATAGTTGTCCTGGTTTTTCATTATATGCCTTTTATCTGATTGAGGAAGTTTCCTTTTTTTTAATCATTGTTGGTTGCTAAATTTGGTAGCTTTTTGCTTTTCATATTTATGAGTTCATCATGAATTTTGTCCTCTTATTGACATGGTATGTTATACTAATTATTGGAACTTAAACCAACTTTGCATTCTTGGCCTACTTTCCTCTTGATTATTATGCTTGTAATTCTTTTGATATACTGATGTGTTTAATTTGCAAATATTTTGTTTAGGATTTCTGTATTTATATTTATAATGCATGCTGACCTCTAATTTTTTTGTTATAGCTTTGTCTGGTATGGTCTCAGGGTAATATAGGATTTAGAAGAGGGAGAAGTATTCTTTGATACTCATTTTTGGGTGGAATTTGTGATGAATTGGTATTAATTATTCTTTAAATGTTTGCTGGAATTTACCAGTGAAGCCATCTGGACCAGGACTTTTCATTGTGGTTAGGTGTTTGATTCCAATCTTTGCCTGTTATCTAGAGTCATTTTTGGTAGTTTGCTTCCTAAGTTATCTAACTTTGCAAGCATTGATCTTGGGAGTCCCTGAAAAATTTTTTTTTTTTAATATCTGTGAGATCAGTAGTAATGTCTCCTCTTTTTAATAAATTGAGCTTCCTCATAATTTTATTTTGTCAAACAAGTGAAATGTTCTCCAAGAATTTTTGGGTTTATTGATTTTTAAAAATTCTTGTACTTATTCTTTTTTTTAAAATAAAGTTTTACTGTAATCTCATCTTCTTATTATTTCACTTCCTTTGGCTTTAATTTTCCATTTCCCCAATTAGGTGGAAGATGAGGTTACTGATTTGAGATCTTTGTTCTCATTTAATGTGCTTATATCTATAAATGCCTCTAAATACTGCTTTAAGTGAATTCCCTCAGTATCTCCTTGACATTGACTCATCACTTGGCATTTTGTCACCTTCTCTCTACATGTCCCACTACCAGTCCTTTGCGACCTCTTTTTCTGCTTGGTCCTTACTGAAATTACCTAGAGAGTGGAAATGACTTGATTTTGTATGACTTTCTCTGTGAAGAAACAAATATTTCTTGGATAAATGAATAGTAACAGCTTCTTTATTTTTATTCCTAGTATTTGCTTTCTATATTTTAGTTGTTATCATACTAGAGATACTATAATACTGTCTAGTATGACTGACACCAGATTTACTAAACACAGATTGAGTATGTGTTGAAAATGAAAGGCTCTTTTAGGAACTTGGGATTTGGAGTTTGTTTAGATGCTAACACTCCAGTCTAGAGCTAAATAGTACAATGCAAGGCAGTGTTGGATGAGGACACTGCCATTCAAGCACAAAGAGAACTTCTCATTGGTGATGTAGAGAAAAACTTCACACCAGATTCCATATGCCATTGCATTTTTAAAATGCAGAACAATTTATCACTGTGGCATACTTGTGAATTGGTCATGATCTCATGAGCATTTAATAGACTAATCAAGCTTGGAATCAGTCTTTCACAGTCTTCTGCTGTTAATGAGCTGACATCTTTCTGTATCTTCTTTTTGCATTGACGTTTTTCCAGTTCCTTGGTGGGTTTGCATACAGAGTGCATAGGAGAACAGTTAGCTCAGTTGAGCTAACTGAGCAGATTAGGAGGTAAATGTACATGGTGAAATAAGAGAGAAATCAGAAGATGGGTGGCTCCACTCTACACTTTGATCTATGCTCTGTCAGCTGGTAGGCAAAACTACTACAAACTCCCATTTTCTTCCATGGTTAATTATATGTAATACTTTTCTCTGGCTCTGGAAATGACTTTGTGGAGCAATATTTTATTGTCCCACAGTAATGAGGGAATAGACATCATATATCAGTTGCCTGGACAAAATGGAGTTTTTGCTTTGCATGATCATATCATTCATCTACTTCAGTTTAAAAACTTTAGATGTTTGTCTACTGTTTGTTTGTGTTCTATGCCCTTCCTTTCCAAAGAATATTTCCAAATGAAATATATTTGATAATCCATACTTGAGGAAGGTACATTTACCTCTTGAGCATGGGGTGATGTTTGTGATGAAAAGAAACCCCAATTCTACTCCATTTTAACGACTGCTTGTGACAGTTTATACTACTCTCTAGGTAACCCAACTCCTAGTGATTCTTAAAAATAAAAGACATCTTTATATTAGTATTGATGAATGAAAGGACCATTGAAGCTTTTTAGCTGTGACTTCTAGCTGTTTAATGAGAAGGCCCACAGAGGGCCTGAGTGAGGCCCACCCATGACCAATAGCTCTCTGTTGGGTGCCTGGGGAGGGTGTGGGCAACAGCAAGGCTTTGATTTGCATCCTAACCTCCCTCTCACATTATAATTTCATGTCTCCAGTTTTTTTTTTAATTGTGTGATACCAATTTTGCAAGATGGTGAAGATTTAATATGAATAGTGAATAATATGAATAGCATTTTCCTTCCCTTTGCCCACTGCCTGTACTTATAGAATTTTCTATCATTATGACAAGTATCTTGGGTATTATATTATATCAGATTAAACAATGGAAATGCTGTTATTGTGTGTGTGTGTGTGTGTGTGTGTGTGAGAGAGAGAGAGAGAGAGAGTGTTGGGGAAGTAATGAATTTCTATCTCCCCCTCAACTTTATTTCATGCTACCTGCTTGGCATTTTCCCTGAATGAAGGGTGACTTGTGAGGGAGGATACTTATGGTCCAGTAGGGAAACAGACAGGCTCTGGGGAGCCAGTAAGTAGAGTGACTGCCCTTTTGAAAACAGAGGGTTGTCTATGTTCATTGAATTTGGAATTCGAACTTGAGTATTACAATTATTTAACGATCTAAAAAGGGCAAGCAGTCCTTTTCAAGGTTATTTAAAAAATAATAATTCTCTCAAACTTCTGGTTCCCTTGCTAGGTGCTTCCAGGTTGCTAGCGGGAGCCCTCCAGCAACATGCCCGAGCAGAGCAATGATTACCGGGTGGCTGTGTTCGGGGCAGGTGGCGTTGGCAAGAGCTCCCTGGTCTTGCGGTTTGTGAAAGGCACCTTCCGAGAGAGCTACATCCCCACTGTGGAAGACACCTACCGGCAGGTGATCAGTTGCGACAAAAGCATCTGCACCCTGCAGATCACAGACACCACAGGCAGCCACCAGTTCCCAGCCATGCAGCGCCTGTCCATCTCCAAGGGCCACGCCTTCATACTGGTCTACTCCATCACCAGCCGGCAGTCCCTGGAGGAGCTCAAACCCATCTATGAACAAATCTGTGAGATCAAGGGGGACGTGGAGAGCATCCCCATCATGCTGGTGGGCAACAAATGTGACGAGAGCCCGAACCGCGAGGTGGAGAGCAGCGAGGCGGAGGCCCTGGCCCGCAAGTGGAAGTGTGCCTTTATGGAGACCTCGGCCAAGCTCAACCACAACGTGAAGGAGCTCTTCCAGGAGCTGCTCAACCTGGAGAAGCGCAGGACCGTGAGCTTACAGATCGACGGGAAGAAGAGCAAGCAGCAGAAGAGGAAAGAGAAGCTCAAGGGCAAATGTGTGGTCATGTGAATACCCTTCCCAGGAGCAGCTGCGTGTCCCCAGCCCCACCTCCCCATCACGTGAACCCACAGTCGTCAGGGTAGCATGTAAGATGCCCACGTGTTAAATGTTGCATTCTGACCGAGGTGTGCCCTCTGGCCTTAAGAGGGCATTCCACTCACCACCTATCAGCACCCCTCTCCAAAATCAGGGAGCCTGCCAGACAGTTCAAATGGAAACCACGCTCAGCCTCGTAAGGACCTGAGAGGTGCCAGCCATTTCTGAGGGTAATTTGGCACCAGGCGGCAGCACCAGAGCTAGCTCCTGTGGGAGCGTGTGTGCGGAGAGGAGGGCTTCATCCGCCTGCAGAGAGCGCTGGGAACTCGAGAGGCTGCAGGCACCGCCCCCCAGACCAGGGCCCCCCTGCTTAGAAGCCAAGGACATCCTTGAGGGTGGGAGGGGAGGTGCAGCAAGAGGTGAGGAGACCAGGCCTAAGTTTCCACTTCTGTGGTTCTTTACCTAATGAAAAGTAGAATCACAGCCTCTCCAGCTGAGCCTCCACCTGCTACCCTAAGGGATGTGCTCTCTTCTCTAGATCTAACAAGCGAGTACCATTTTAACCTTAGAGTATTTATTTTCACATAAGGTGCAGAGTTCACTGGAGTGTGCAGCTCTGCGAGAAATCTTGGGTGTTGAGCGAGGACGCTATGACATTACCAGGACACCTCACCGGCCTCGTGTGTTCCTCTTCAAGGCTTTTAGAAATGTGAAGCTTCTTCCCTCTGACCCATCAGGGGTATAACTCCCTCCAGCTCTCAGATTTTAAATAAAAGCAATTAAAGTAGCTATTTTTCAGTATTTCTTTTTTTCCCTCCAAGGTAATTTTCTTCTTTTAAATAACTGTATCCAGCTGGGAACAGCCAACAAAGGCCATTGAAGAACAGAAGCACATCCATTTTCTAAATGACACGAACATGTATATGCCATACTTTGCACCTTAAGGAAATACTTTGAAACAGAAGTCCTTCACTGTGTTTTCTCACGATATCTGTAACGCCAGTATATTCCTGGGAAATGCGTTCAGATAATAGATGACTGTGCATGTTTCCTTACAAATGTCTTGGAAGACTGGCTCAGTGCAGTGTTCACTCTGGAAACAATGATCTTTTCCTCCCAGTGATCGTGTGCACATCCTTAGTCCTTCAGTCCATACCTCCGTCACTGTTGATTCCGCCGGGGTGTCTGAAGACCAGCCCTCAGGCTGCTGGCTGCCCGCAGAGAACTGCCCACTTGGCGGCATAGCTCTGCCGTCGTCCGGTCTGGATTTGCTTTGCTTACTGAAAATTCTGCTGGTGGAGGCTGTGAGTTCTGTCTGTTCCAGCTGACACAGTGTGCTCTGGCCCTGACTGTCCTGTCCGGCGGGGAGCTGTGCCGGCCTGGACAGAGTCGGCAAGTTCAGGACATTTGCAGGTACCCCGGGGCACCTCCCTTCTGCCACTCCTGGCTGAGGCCTCAGCTATGGAGTCACTTCTCTTGATATTCTATACCCTTTTCTGGTTAAAATTTCCTGCTTTTGCTCATCCGGTCTGCCCTGCCAACACTGGTGTGTGGATTGTGTGCAGGAGCCCATGGCTTCATGGTCTGGCGACAGCCGTGGGCTTTGACAACAAATGCTGAGGACTCAGAGTGGCTTGGACCCAGAGTACCTCTCCAGACCCCAAGTCCCTCCAGTCCCCCTGGGCGCCCCCCACTATGGCCTTGTCTGCTCCATGGGCGGCTCACAGCCCTCACAATGGGGGACACTCTCTAGATCATTCACTTCTTGACTGTCCCTACTTTTCCCCTTCTTCCTATTCTCAGAGGACACTATCAATTTGTAGTTTGGATGTGGGCTGAGCAGATGAAGACCCAGGGCTTGAAGGCCAAGAGCAGACTTAGAGCTCTCTGTGGGGCCTTAGCTCCCAGCGAGACTAGCGAGCCTTCTGCCTTGGGCTCCTGAGGTGAGCTCCTCCCTCCCTGCTAATGCAGGGGTAATGTGTCATAATTTCCTTTAGCTCCCAGCTTGCTGTCTCCATTTTAAAGCATTTCAAGCTTCATCTATATGAGGAGCTTGTGATTCCTGAAAATCTGATCTTTTTTCAGAACACCTTTGTTCCTCTGTACTTGTCCATGAATTTATAGGAGGCAAATGAAGCTTCCATCATTGGTCTTTGTTCAGAGATCATTTTCCATGAACTGAACTGAGGGCATTGGTGATTGTCTCAATAGTCTTTTCGGAGGTCCCCAACTGACTCAGGGCTTGAGGAGTTAGTTCCATCAAATCTGATGATTTTAGCATTTATGTGGCCCCTGAATGGTGACTGTGGCTCTTGAGTCCACACCCTATGTTGTATAGCAGCACAGAGGTTTGGACCGAGCCACAGAGAGTTACACAACTCAAAATATTGCTTTTAAGATGGCACTCTGGGAGTAAGCATGGGGCTCTGTGAGTTCCCTTCTGTCCCGCCAGTCCCTCCATCCGGTGACAAGCCATTGGGCGTGCCCTGGGCATGCATGCAATACAGCAAGACCAACACAAGAGCAATATTGAATTGTTCATTAGATCTAAAATTATATATATATTATATATATAATTTATCTTCCTGCATTTTTGAAGTATAAAGTAGTAACTTGTACATATCTGGAAGCTAGTCTATTTGTTCCACTGTTTGTAACCTTTAAGAAATGCTCATTCTTTGTAGAACAAAATTATATTAAAAATTAAAAAAAAATGCTCTGTGATACTTAATTTCTTTTCTCAAAATTTTTAATGTGTTGCTCCTACATAAGCTCTCTGGAAATATCCATAACTTAACGGGACACATGTAAACCCTGAAGAGCCATCCTGGACCCCACTACCCCACAAAGACAGTCTGTGATAGAGTATTTACAGAGCATGACTTTTATATTCTGGGATATCAATGTGTATTTATATTTAAGGTGTAATGTAATTATTGTTATAATCTCACTACTGTCTGTTCTATTTTATTCACTCTCTAGTTACAGAAATCACCCTTGCAGACAAATTTTTAGTTGCCAGTGATGTTCTGAAAATAATGAAACACGTTCCAATAAAGCTTCAGTTCTGATACCGTCACTGGAAGGTGGTGTTTCTTTTTCCAGGGTGTGCCATCTGTGGTGTCCTAGTTCTCTTGCAGCTGCTTCCGGGTGCTTATCTAACAAGGGAGACTGTCGGACTCTGCGGGTCTGGGGCTGACGACAGCTGCCCACAGTGTTCCTGGGAAGTTTGCCCGGTGAGTCACTGTCGGGGGGCTGATAGACCTCCAGGCAGGAGGGGTTGGAGGGAAGGTGCAGTCAGTGCCCTCCTGGGCTCTACATGGGAGGGGTAAGGCGTTTTCCTTCTCTCTTGGCCTCACTTTCTGGCTCATCATCAGAATCTACTATTTTAGGAAGGGTGGATACAGAAAGTCCCCCAAGCATGGTTCCTGGACAGTTCCTGCTTTTTCTTACTTCTCAATACTGTAAGGTAAAGCTGACTTTTGGTAACATAGGAAAAACAAGCCAACATCTCTAAACAAAATAGAATCCTCCTTCTGCCACTGACAGGTGACTCCGGCAGTTTTTAACCCCATGGTGCTTCTGCAGAAAGGGAATCATTACCATCTGCAGCTGTGTGGGTGGTCCCAAGGATTAAACTGATGATAAACACACAGCACTAAAGCTGTGGAATACACTGTCCACATAGCTGACATTTGTGCATTCACAGCAATGGCCTGTCTGTGGAACAAACCCTCTGCCTCTGGAGGCTTTTGTTTGGAAGGTCTGTGAAGGTGTGAAAATTAATCTGTCCAACCCAACAATCCACAGAAACTTTCAGTTTCTTCAATCCTCTTCGATAGCCGTTAGGGTCTTACCATCTGCATGTCATATCCCATCCCCCAGGTCGTTATTATACATTATTCAGAGATTTCTCCCTTTATGCAGCTAATTACAATCAGCGAGCCCATTAGACCCCATTAGAGAGCATCCCATCCGGTGCCTACTGAGCTTTAATGTGTACATAAAGCATCAAGAGACTTTGTAAGTCAGCAGTGCCTGAGTTAGTTGGGCTGGGCTGGCCTGGGAGTCTGCATTTCTGTTGGCTCCCAGGTCATGGTGAGACAACTGGTTCATGGACCCCAACAAGTGAATAAAGCTACAATCTACTTGCCCAGTTACATTGCACAAAGGAATTTTGACACCTACTGATGTCCAGGGCTACCCCAGAAGTCATAATTCCATGGGTCTGGAATGTGGGTTCTGATAGTTGTTTTTGTTTTGTTTTGTTTATCTTCCACATACGATTGAAATCTAGTGTTTGCCTTTCTCCATCTGGCTTACTTTGCTTAATTTAATGTCTTCTGGTTACCAGAAAGGGGGAGGGGTAAATTGTATAAAAAAGGTCAGTGTACATTGAAGGGTGGAATTAGACTTTTCACAGTGAACTTAATGTTGTATATACAGATATTGATTTACAATACTGTTTACCTAAAACCTACACACTATTAGAAACCAGTGTTACTTTAATAAACATGTTAGACAAAGCAAACTTAAAACAGGTTCCTAGTCAATTGTAATGTGGAATAAAGTTTAGGAAGCACTGCTGATAGCCAAGTTTAATTGGGAGGCCTGCCAGGTCGCTAAATCTCTTGGAGTGTGGGGAGGGTTGCTTATTACAGACAGTTTCCCTTTAGACCTTTTAATGGCTATTTTCCAGGAAGCAAACTTGTGGAATTTGGGTGAGGGTCCCTGTCTCCTCTGTGCTGAGATGGGCCCAAGGTTGACAGTGAGGAAATTGACATTAAATCACTGGGCTTCAGGGGGCAGCCAGTCTGCTTCTGACAGCTGTTCAGGTTGTTTTATCCTTGCCTGACTGAGTCCCAGCACAGGCAAGAGTCATTCTTGAAGCCCCCAGCCTCCTTATCAATCATGCCTGGCTTCTGCTGAGTCATTGCTGCTCCCACGACAGTGTGAATGTGGATGCTGGCATGCTCAGTGGCCACAGGCTGTCTCCACACCTTTGGGGGGCGGGGTCCCACAAGTCATGGTTAGGTCTGCCCCTGTTCCTCTCTTAAACTGGGGTTTGGCCTCATCAGTTCTGCATTTTCCTATTTCATGTTTACTTTCATTGACTTTTCTATTCTATGGACTTGACTTTGCCTATCCATTAGCTCAAAAGAAGCAGGTGTCTGTACCAGGCTTTCAAATATAAATTCACTATTCATATTCATAATAGTAATTGAATTGGAGTTATGGAATCAGGTTCAGAGGCCAATGATCCTGGGTGGGCTCTTTCTTGGTTCTTGTCTTTGCTAGGAAACAATTTAACATCGAGCCTAAAGTTACAGAAAAGCAAGATTTACTGACATTTAAGAAGGAGGTCAGGAAATGTCTCCAAATATAGAGAGGTACTGAGTGGGTATCCAAAAAGGTGGTGAGAAGTAGGCGTTTATATGGGTCTAGTGGGCAAGGGGTAGGGGCTGGGTGTGTCTCTTGCTGATGGCTGTGCTTGTGAGGGTTTCCTCAGATACTGAGGTCCACTGAGTTTGCTTATATTACCTGGCTGACCTTTCTGAAACTAGCGCTGGCCTGTGCCTTTAGCATTATGTTATTGCTTTGCTGTTCTGGACATCCGCTCTTTTCTGGGTTTGTGGGGGAGGGAGGAATACCTTCCTGGCCCACAGTTGTTCTCCAATTAGACTGATAAATGAATATGCGTTCTTGGAGCACCCTGTTCCTAGCTGACTGCCTATACCCTTTCCTTATTTCCTCCTTCAGTTACCGTTGTTATTGTTTTCATCTGTTCACTCTTACACTCCTCACACTCCCTTTGTCTCCAGTAAGATAAAGCAGGTGATTTTACATGTAGCAAAACAAAGTAAACCTCCAATTTCCAGCTGATCTTCTATAGAGATAGAGGTTGAAGTGTCAGGGAAAAACAAAACCAAAAAAAAAAACAAAACAAACAAAAAAAAATTAAGGCAATAGAATCACTCATAATGAGTATAAGATGAAATTTATGGAGTTGATTAGTGTCAACAAAGCAATATAAAATAGATGTGAAATGTCTATTTCCCTCTTGTCAAAAATCAAGATTATTTCCCTTGCAGTCTGCTTCTTAACAAGGATGCATTGTGTTTTACAAGCACTTTCCAAATGTTCATTAGAATTCAGCATGAATATACATGCACCACATACTCATGGCACAGGTTCAAACATGTTCACACATGTGCACACATCTAGTCATACACACACACTCTAAATGATGGTCACAAAATAGCACTCAAAACTAGGTTGTGTGTAGTAGCTCCGCTACCCAATATGACCTCTGTCGGGTGACTATTAGGACCTCAAAGAAGGGGAAAGACATGGATATAGTTTGACTGTCACAGTAGAACTGTCAGCATATGCAGAAGTCTGTAAAATAGTTGTGCAAAAGGTACAACTTTGGACCCATTTTTCCACTGGGCAGAAATCCTTTTACTTTCTGTTTTGGGTCCCATCACTATACATTCAAATCTTTTCCTGTGCTCATGCTGCTATTTCATCGCCTCCTTTATGATATTTTCCCCAGTCATTTAATCAAAAGAAATTTCTCCCTCTTTAGAATGCCTCTTGGTTGTTTTCCTGCCTGTGTGACTCTTAGACATGTTTCCTTATTCTGAAATGACTTTTGCACTCACAGGTCCTGATTTGTTCCATACTATTTAACATGAAGTCATGTTGGACCCTCTCGGCAACTGAATTGTACTTTGGACCTATAAGTGTCCCATAAACACTCCTTAGAATGAGAAGCAAAACCTGCCCCAAGCTCCTAGTGGGATTCCGTGCAGGCTTTGACACACTCCACTGGGCACAGAGATGGACGCACCTCCCAGGTCCCTTCTTGTCCAGTGGGTCTGACCATTTCTGGCTGAGGAGTTGTGAATGCAAGAGACACTGTTGTTGCTAAGCGTGGTTTCCTGGCCAGCCAGAGGCTCTCCATAGTCGTCCTTCCCTCACCCAGACAATGGTGACTCCACACACCAGGTGAGGTGGGAGCATGGCCGCTGCTCACAGGTGATGGGTTGAATACTTGTGTTGTTTTACGCAATGGGAATTTTGGGGATTGTTTGTTATGGTGGTGTAATCTTGACTAAAACATATCCCTTGGTTAGAATTTCAAAGATTAGCATTTCCTTCTTTCAACCTCTTCCTCTTAAAATAACAAGTGGATAAATTATATATAGACATACACACACACACATATACACATATGTAATACAAAGAAATATAGGCTTATGAGGGATAAAATTCTAAATCTTCCTTGACAGACTATTTTTTAAAATGCTCAAATTTAGGCTGACTTGTGTAAACTAAGGATGAAATGTACCACAGAAATTAGATGGCACTTCTTGCCTGTGGAATATCATGCCTTTGTCTCATTAGTTAACATGGTTCAAGATGAGGTCAACCGAGTAGCCATAGGTATAGCAGCAGTTTTCTAGGAAGATAGAGTAAGAATACAAGTTTTATAAAAGTTAAATATAAAATTAATTTACTTTCTAGAAATCCCATATAATCTTATAGTTGTGTTTTTTAAATACTATTCAAGAGCTCTGGGGGCTTAGTCCCCTCAGACCTCTATTAAAGTTGTGCATTTCTCTTGGCTAGCATATTTTCTTGTTGCATATGCTTTCTTGTTTTTTTTTTTTAAGCTGCATTTTCTCCTTTGTTTGTCTAACTCATTGTGCAATGAAACATAAATGGAAAGACCAAATAGGAAAAAAAAAAACAAAACTAAACTTACAATGCCATAAGCACTGTGCATCTCTCTATGCATACAATGAATCTGTCAATCTAGGAAAACAATCATTTCTAAGACTAGACCACCTCACTGAACAAAAAATAAGACCAAAATATCTGATAGTATTGCCTATGTCTTCATGCCAATGAGCTATTCTTTCAGAAAGCCTATCAATTCACCCAAATTTTACCATCATTAATAAATCAGTCAGATCTCACTTTTTACCAGGACAAATGTGAATCTAATAAATTTTTATCAAAGAAAATGAAGTAACCAAAAAGTGGTATTATTTTGTAGTGAAGCTCTAATAA